TGGTAGTGGTAGTCGTAGTGGTAGTAGTAGTTGTTGTTGCTGTAGGAGGAGGAGTAGTGGTGGTAGTAGTAGTAGTAGTAGTAGTTGTTGTTGTTGTTGTTGTGGTCGTCGTCGTCGTCGTCGTCGTCGTCGTCGTGGTCGTGGTCGTTGTCGTCGTAGTTGTTGCTGGGCCAGCGGTGCGGGCGCGCTAGTAGTCATCATTGTCGTCGCAGGCAGAACAATACAGCGTTCTTGGATGGGAAGGATAATTAGAGGGAAGGAGACATTGCGGTGGTGTGCAGGGTGTTGGAAAAACAGGATCCATTTAAGAACCGAATCTCCATCATCCAGTCTTGAATGCTCTGGGCAAGCTAATGTCAGGGGGCTATGGGTTGAACTCTTATCCCAAACTGATTTACAGCTTGTTCAGTCCTTACTCCCCATGACCCTCCATCACCCCCCGAGCTGGCAACCATTTTCCAGCAGCAGGTGGACGCAGTCCACGTGTCCGCTAATGCCAGCTCCTAGATGCTTGTATTAGTTGCTCTTGTAGGTATAGATATGAGGATATGCAATACAACACAATATCTACTGAATAACATATTCAGTCTACTCTATTATATATGTGGTACATGATATGCAATATGCTATACATTCCTGGGTGCACTTTTTTGATATTTTGCTACAATCTTGCTACATGCGACTCAGGTCTCCTTGCTGCTCTTGATCATATGTTCATACTATGTGATATTATGTATGGGGGGGGAAGTGTTTATGCATGCATGTATCTACCATATCTTGGATATCGTGCAATTTATCCTGACCAAGTGTTGTCTAGATATGGTCTATATGACACATTGCATAGTATATGAGTCTTTCACATCATACCTGGATATGACCAAGCGAAGGGGCCATGCCCATCTGTGCGTTGAGGTGATGGGGCGTTGGGTGATTTTTAAGCAGGGTCCTGCATTGCATGCGCTGCCCGGGCTAGGCTAAAATGATGATAGGAACTGGCTTGCAATGCCTAGTGATGTTGCCAGCACCGTGGGGCATGCTGGCAAGAATTATCAACAGAGAGCTTCTCTCAAGCGGGGCTCTCTGGCTGGAGCCTGCATCATTCCGAATGACTCAGGCGCTGGCGCATCAGTGGCGTGGTGCCCAGGAAGTCCTGACACGGAACGCTGCACACTTGTCTTCCATGCTGTGGTACATGCTTCGTGGAAAATACAGCTGAAGCTGACATCTTACCTCATGGCTATCGTCTTCGGTAGCACATAGTATGGACTGCGAAGTTGAGGTCAGAGAGGACTCCACACCGCTTGCCGCCATTTCTAGCAGCGGGAAGCCAAAACAAAAAAACAGCAAAACATAGCCAACCAACATGCAAATCCCGCATGCGAGGTTCAAGGCGAGATCTTGCAAAACCACTGAATGTTACATGCGCGGATGCTTTGCAGATTCAACTTGCTGGTCACTTGGAGCCGTACAAATCAGAAACTGATATTCCCACTGGCTCACAATCTACGTCACCCCCGTTTATACCTCAACCTCTATCTCTACCACCCACAGCGCTACAATTATAAATACCATTATGGTAAGGCTTTGCGAATCCTGTATGATGCTACTCTTCATCTGGTAGCTAGTATTGGATCATTATTGCTATTATTGGGTTATTGTTACTATCATTGGGTTATTATTGCTGTTGTTTATCATTACTGTTACTGGGTTGTTCCCCACCCTCGTAGTGGGGTTGTTAGATTTTGAATGTCTATGTTGTCCTCGCCCGCAATGCTCAATGGCAACGTATCCCTGCAGTGTCCAACCGCAGAGTATCTACGCAATGCCCAACCGCAGAGTATCCCTGCAATGCCCACTCACCAAGTATCCCTGCAGTGCTCGCCGCAGAGTATCCACACAACGCCCAACCGCAACCGCAGACAGTATCCCTGCCATGCCCAACCGCAGAGTATCCACGCAATGCCCAATCGCAACCGCAGAGTATCCCTGCAGTGCCCAACCGCAGAATATCCCTACAGTGCCCAACCACCAAGTATCCCTGCAGTGCCCACCACAGAGTATCCACGCAATGCCCAACCGCAACCGCAGAGTTTTCAAGCAGTGCCCAACCACGAAGTATCCCTGCAATGCCCAACCGCGCAGTATCTCTGCAGTGCGCAGCCACCAAGTATCCCTGCAGTGCCCAACCGCCAAACGGATGCATTACATTTCTCGTGCAATAATGGCTTCAGGGTGGGGATGCTCGAAGTGGATAATTTTTGGAGTCCTGCAGCAGGCACCCTGACCCTGACAGCTTCTCAGCTCTTCTCTGACAGGCCTCACTATCCACAATAGCTCCGTTCTCAATGAGGATCTTGAGGCAGCTCTGGTGTCCGCGGAAAGCCGCATGCATTGCGGCCTGGCAGAATCTCTAAGTCAAATGCTGAGTGATGATCCAGCGGTTATATAGGGATAATGGTTATATATAGGGGATAATGGAAAAGAAAACGGAAACTACAGGGATTATACTTATATAGTATTTGCAAGAGGACTGAAAATAAGAATCATCGTTGCAAATTGGGCAAAACCCTGGACCCTAAACTTAATCCTTTCCGTCAGAATATCACCAGCACATGCATTCACCATGTCGGTGAGACCGTCCATCCGCGATTGTCCGACACATTCAGGTTGGCCCCATATGCGACTAACAGAGAGAGGCACTCCTGCAGCGTGCTTCTCAAACTTGCTACTATAGTATATTGGGGCTATATAGGGATAATGGAAAAGAAAATTTGAAACTTCTATAGTCTAACAGGGTATATATTGGGGGCATATCTCGTACAGCTGTAACATGCCCACATCAGAAGCGCTAGTCTTAGCTCTGTGGCTTGAGTTTCCAAGAAGTTCTTGCCGTTAATGCTGCTTTTCTGTCATTATTGCTGTGAACATGTTCGCATCCTGGTGGCCATTGTCCGCAGCTTCAATTGCGGCGGTCTTACCACGACCTGCATCACCATTAGCAAGCTCAACGCGAATAAGGTGCATCAAAGAACTTGTGTATCAGGTGTGTCAGAAGTAATATGAGGAAGAACACTACAACTAATTACGCAGTCCCATAATTGTCAGAAGCTACCGAAGCCCTCCATGCGCCAGGCTGTCAGAGGCGTTGATGTCCACTCCACGGGCGTGCAATCGCTGCAGCTCCTGTTGGAGCCAAGATCAGTTGCCCCACTTGAACAAATCCTCATGACAACTACAAGTCATAGATCACATGGCATTACGTACTACTATTACTAGTATTACTATTATTACTGTTATTACCACTTCTACTATTATTACTATTATTCCTATTTCTGATTATTGCTATTATTAGTAAGCGGCAAGAATTTGTTGTTGGTCTGCTCGCTTTGGAAGCCAACATCTGGATCCGTGAATTGGCGGCATCTCAACTGCGAGTACATGGCTCCGAAGCATCGTAGGCATCTTCTTTGAGAACACTAGCACCCCAAACCCTGATAACTGAGCCATAGTCTAAACTCCTAGTGTGCCCCTTAATAACCCCTATAATAGTCCTATATACAACCCCCTCGACGGAGTTTAGACTCTAGCTCAATTAGCCCCCATAAACCTGTGCGTTCCGATTGCCTCCTGTAATCCTCAAGCCAGATCCGCAATTCCGAAAAGCCTTCACACAGAAGCTCCTCACCTTCGAAGCTTCTACAGGAGCAAGGATTGGAGTAGTTTGGGGCAAACGTATTGTAGTTACCCTAAATAAGCGAACCTCAATATAGACCCAAGATACTCCATACTAGGAGGACCCCCAAAATGGTACCCCTAATTTTGGGAAACCCTAAACCCCCAGAAAAGTTGCTTCCGTGTTCTTTTCCATCATCCCTATATACCCCTATATCACCCTTATATAACTCCTGTGTATGGCAAACCTTACATCCTAGGTTCCCACGGCCTGCTGGTCACCAAGGGCGGCAGCCTTAAGAAACCTCCGATGCATGGCAAGAAATTATGAATGAATATATTACACAGGGATTATATGAGCTATACTCTAAACTCCTAGTATCCCCCTTAGTAAACCCTAAAAAGTTAAGGTTTCAACTGAGGGCTTCGGGGGTCTGGGGGGGGTAAGGCTTAGGATCTCAGAACAGGATTCTCTTTACAAAACGAGAAGTAGGCCGCAACTGTGAGGCTCCCTGTATCCAAAGCAGGACGGAAACTCCCTTCAACGCAATGCCATCTGCAACTGACATAAGGTGACAGCAAGCATCAGCGTGCCTTTCGCTGTTACTCCAGCGTGCGCCCATGATGCCGCCTCGGCGATAGAAATTCAGAGACAATTGGCGTCGTGTACCCTTCCCGCTAGCAAGTAAGTGCTTTCAGCTGAGGCGATGACCTCTCCACTTGTGCAGGCGTGGATCTCTAGAACACGACTTTGAACATTCTAGAGCCAGCTCGCAGAAGCACATCCACTAAAACAGCTCCTCTCCAAGAGGCCTAGGGCGTAGCGTTCTCCACGTGGATCATTGCTGAGACACAAGGATCTGTTAGACATGTTGCTCTGGGCTGCCCTCTGACCATCCAATGAACAACATCCGAACAGTGCTAGAAAATCCTCATAGACTCATAGTCATCACTTTTTCCACCCTGGGCACTCCAGAGCAGTTCACACGATCCCCCTTAGATTCATCAAGAATGAATATTCCTTCATTCCCTCTACTCTAGTCTATGATGGCTGTACCAACGGGCGTTCATTATCAGGGATTTGGAGCGGTCTTTTTGGGGGTGGCGACTCCTTGCCACCATTGTCTATCATCGTCCATGAACTGCTCTCTGCAGGGGGCACTCTTTGCAGAGACCTTCGGACGTCTCCCAATCGGCGTTGGCAAACTTGTCCAGAATGGCCCTCGGCTCCAGGTCAAATCATCCGAGATGCAATGGCCCAACAAAACCCAGAGGGGAGCTGCTGAAGCCAACGAACATGCGTGGGCGAAAAGCGCAAGAAAGGCGAACTTAGGAGCCCACTTGTTGTCCGTTTTGAAGAGGCTGTAGTCATCAACGCTGAAGGACTCCTCGCCCTTCTTCAGCTTGTCTTTTCTAGACCCGTCGCTGGACTGGATGATGGTTCGCTCCTGGCACTTTTAGGTGTTATCCAGGGATAATGGAAAATGAAGTGGAAACTACAGGGATTATAGAGGTTGTGTAAGGATTATAGGGTATATATTGGGGATTATATAGGGATGATGGAAAATAAAATGGAAACTACAGGGATTGTAGGGGTTATATAAGGATTATGGGGTATATATTGGGGATTATATAGGGATGATGGAAAATGAAATGGAAACTGCTATATCGTACGGTGTTATATAAGGGTTTATCTCTCAAATTGTGGTCCCCCGCATCAAGCCTGCAGGACTCACCAAAGGGCCATTGTTCAGTAACCCCTACACGGGCTGAGCTGGCCCGTCTTGACTTGGATGCGCTAAAACTGATCTGGAAGCAAATCGGCATAGAAAAGGACACCTGCACTGACAGCACTCATCATCACACGAAACTCAGAGGATTGCATGACTGTGTGGAAGACATCCTCGGCCACGTGGCAGACGTTGTTAACGTGCAGAGGCCGTTTTGACTCCAACTTCTCTGCCTGTGCGAAATGGAGCGTTCCCAAAAACATGCGCCTTGCGGGGTTATTGGTGAAGTTGTGGGGATTATGCAGGAAACGCACTGTCACTGGACTTGAAGGTGATAGCTACAAACATCATAGGGAGCTCGTCTGTGTTCGGAGTACAGGGTTTTGAGTTCAGGCTTTCCGGCTCGGGGTTCGGAATGATTCGGAGGAGTCCTGTACACGTGAACATGAAACCATGCTTACGTGACGCCTGAAATGCATGAAAATCCTTTTGCGAAACAGATGAGTCGGTTGGGTCTGTGTCTGCAAAGCTGTGCAGTTTCGCGGCTCTGGGCCGGTTTACCACGAAACCTGAACGTCCGCTTGCCTGCATGCGGGCTTGTTGATGCTTGTTGCATGTTGTTGCTGCCAGACTACTTACCGTACAGTCCAGACCTTTGCGGAGACGCTGCTCACGCCGCGCCCTCGTCGGAATCCACAATTCAACGGGCCCACACACTGTACTTGGCCGCAAGTTTACCACTTGGGGTCCCTAAAAACTTCCCTTCTCGTCAGTCTTTGTGACATGATGCGGCGTTGGCCAACACTTTTCTATGCCGAGGATGAGTCTTTCGTATCCATTTCCTGCTTTGTGTTGCGGAATGCTGGAATGTCTCAGCCTCCGGCTTTCACCTGTCAAGTAGGCTCTTCACATGATAACAAGCTTGCAGTGTGACTTAAAACATGTTGACACACCGCTAAGCGGCTAAGCTTTACATAACTAAATCTACGACTTTCAGATGGCAATTTGCCGCTGCTGTGATAAGTTGCAGACTTTTGCCGCTGCGGCGCCACCGAAAGCGCATGTGCCCACTAGGCGTAAACGTCAGGCATGGCTGCCAAGAGCCTTGAGTGGCCAGAGTTCCCGGTCTCACTCTCGTTCGCGGCTTTCGCATTAAGCTTCGCGGCTTTCAGTTTCGAGGCTTCCTCGTCCAGGGTGTGGTTCTTCATGAGGTCCGCCTTTAGCTTCAGCTCCACCGCGGGATCAGGCTGCGCATCAAGATTCGACCGAGCCTACAGCCGCAACACAAGCTCAATTCGGCGGATGATGGCGAATGACCGCGGGCTACAGCGGACTACAGTGCAACAATGCAACGCACACACGAACAGCTGAGGCACAGGAGATTGGAGGCAGATCTTCCAGCCACCTTTCCGAACGCTGCCGTCCTCCCCAAGCAAGAGCAATCCAAACAAAACGCACATGACAACACGCGTCACTAGAGGGCCCTTGAGCAGTCAGGAGCCAAGAGCCAAGCGGCATGTGACTCTTACCACCAAGAAGCTATATGTCGACCCTTGCGTTTGCAGGACTGCTTGCAGCCGTGCTTCAGAACTCCATGTGATCTCGCCATGGGGGATGACTCCCTGTGGGCCGTTGCTTCCAGAGTACTCCACACCATT